CATAGTACTTGTCTTGTAATTATCAAACTGGTAACTTACAGATGCCATTCAAGAAAATATGATAGTATTACTGTGTTTGATTTATGCCACAGTTTATGAAAAATAAATATTTATTGAATGTAATGATTTTACAGATTTATTAGTTCAATATTATTGTCTCAATACCATTAGAAGTAGCTCTGATGCCATTTAGAGTATGTAAGCAAAAATTTCTCTAATGAAAGCAGATACTAAGTTCTGTTCCCTTTTTTTGCACTTTGATCTTTTCTGCAGTGGGGAAATTTACCAAGTTCAATAGTATTTTTGTATCCACTGATAATTTGCGATTTACCTTGCATTTAGCCAATACCTATCCTCAGATACCAGTATCAGTGGATTATTCTTCGCTTGGGCTACTGACAGTTTTAATGTGTGCTTCCACTGTGAGTGAAGAAGACTGGCTGAATGATTTCACACAGTGCTGCTGTTATGCCACCTTGTGTGGCTGAGCACCTGAAATCTCTGCAATAGTGTACTGCTGCTGAGTATGAGAGAGAAAGTCATGTGCAGGTACCTAAATGGAAATTAAAATAGTTTTACTGTGAGTGGGACAGGATTTGCTAAAACAATTCACAGAGTCACAGAATGGTAGGGGTTGGGAAGGGACCTTCAGAGATTGTCTAGTCCAACACCCCTGCCAAAGCAGGTTCAGCTAAAGCAGGTTGCACAGGATCACGTCCAGGCAGGTTTTGAGTATCTCCAGAGAAGGAGACTGCACAACCTCTCTGGGCAGCCTGTCCCAGTGCTCTGTCACCCTCAAAGTAAAGATGTTTTTCCTCATGTTGAGATGGAACTTTCTGTGTTCCAGTTGATGCCCATTGCTTCTTGTCCTGTTGCTGAGCACCACTGAAAAGAGTCTGGCCTCATCCTCTTGACACCGGCCCTGTAGATATTTATAACCATTGATGAGATTCTCTCTCAGCCTTCTCTTCTCCAGGTTAAACAGATCCAGGTCGCTCAGTCTTTCCTCACAAGAGAGATGCTCCAGCCCCTTGATCATCTTCGTAGCCCTCCGCTGGACTCTTTCCAGTAGTTCCTTGTCTTTCTTGAGCTGGGGAGCCCAGAACTGGACACAGCATTCCAGATGTGGCCCCACCAGGGCAGAGTAGAGGGGGAGGATAACCTCCTTGGCCTGCTGGCCACCGTCTTTTTAATGCATCCAAGGAGACTATTGGCCTTCTTGGCCACAAAGGCACGTTGTGCCTCATGGTCAACTTGTCCACCAGGACTGCCTGGTCCCTCTCTGCAGACCTGCTGTCCAGCAGGTCAACCCCTAACTTGTACTGGTGCATGGGGTTATTCCTCCCTAGGTGCAGGATGCCCTTGTTGAACTTCATTAGGTTCCTCGCCACCTAACTCTTCAGCCTGTCCAAATCTCACTGAACGGCAGCATAAACTTCTGGTGTGTCAGCCACTGCTCCCAGTCTAGTGTCATCATAGCTGAAGGTACGCTCTGTCCCCTCATCCATTCATTGATGAATATGTTGAACAAGACTGGACCCAGTACTGACCCCTGGGGAACACTGCTAGTTACAGGCCTCCAACACCTCCAACTAGATTCTGTGCCACTGATTACAACCCTTCGAGCTCTGCCATTCAGCCAGTTCTCAATTCATCTCACTGTCCACTCATCTAACCCACACTTCCTAAGCTTGCCTGTGAGGATGTTTCAAGAGACAGCGTCAAAAGCCTTGCTGAAGTCAAGATAGACAACGTCCACTGCTCTCTCATGAGCCAGTCATGCCAGCATAAAAGGCTGTCAGATTGGTCGAGCATGATTTCCCCTTGGTGAATCCTTGTTGGCCACTCTTGATAACCTTCTCCTTTACATATCAACCTATTCTCATATCCATAAATAAAAGGGGCAATTTTTTTTCTTAATTGAAAAAAGAAGTTATCAAAGTAATGTGTTCTGTTAAATGAATCCGTGTGGTTTATAGTAAAAATGAATTTGATAAAAATATAATACATGTTTTTCAGTATCTGATTTACCTGTTTCTCATATTCTATTTAATTTCCGTCAAGGTTATTGACATAATTTCTGTAAAGGTTATTGATATAATGGACATTTATTCTTTGTACTTAATGTCATGCTAGTCATAAGATTTTTATCCATATTGTGCTATGTAAGGAGGCATCATCTAAGTTGTTAAAAAATAATAAGTTTTTTAAAAGTAGAGGTAAAACTTTTAGGGAAGAACCACAGTGTAAGTACTGTTTTATATTTTATGTTATTTTATTATTATGATATATACCTAGAATTTTTGTGCAATTTTATAAATCACTTCAAGAAAATAAGACTGAATTTTCTATTCTGGTCCTTTACCTTAACCTGACAGTACACAAAGCCTTTGCGATGACTTCCACTTTTTCTATTTCCATTTCAAACCACTTTTACTAAGTTCCTCTCCAACATTGTTTTTTTCAAACCATATAAAACTGTTCTGTGGATGAGGTAACAGGTGCCACTAAAACACTAATTGACTAACGCTATCTTGATAGACAATACTTACGCTTTACCTTCAGTTCCATTAAGAAGTCTATCAAACTATTTCTTTATAATTATAACACTTACTGAGTTCAAATGAAACCTTATAAACAGGGAACCATATTCCCTTATGAACTCTTAATGGAGACCTCACATTCTAATTCAATGAATGAGATTTATTTACATATATAATTATATAACTATATTTAATTTTATAAAGTAATTTGAATGTATAAATATTTATATTTGTTTTCGTATATTTATATACACTGTTTATATATGCAAATATACAATGTAATGTATATTATACTTTATTTTTATGTAATGTATGTGTTATGTATTTGTATAATGTATGTATCAGTTTTATATTTAATTTTATAAAAATAAAAAGTCACGTGCACTTAATGGTGTACTATGAAATTGTTTGGAGAATTCACTGTGTATGCGTATACAATGTTCCAGGGGAAATATGAATGAAGCTTATTGAGAATTTTTCTGACAAGATGGTTTTGTCAGATTCTTCAGTCCCCCACTTTCCTGTAAAGTTATACTTTTTTGATGGAAGCTAAATATGCAGTCAAAACAAAAAGAAAGTTTGATAGCCATATGGTGAGGATGCTTGTTTATAAAAAGCAAAACGGAGGTTTAGGTCTATGTTCTGCCTATCTGGATCAACGCTAGCATCAACCCTGTAATTTTAGTTTTGGTTTTTGATTGATTGGTTGGTTGGTTCTTTGCTTTTTTCTGGACTTTATTTTTGACATCTGTTACATGCAGTGGAAATGGTTAAATATTTATAGAAGTTAGTACCCTGCCATCACCTCTGGGCTAGAATTTGATTTTAAATTGATCTGAAATATCCTCAGACAGAGATGCGCACCTGTGGGCCGAGACATAGCTAAGTGCCCACTCATACAGTGCCCACTCATACAGTCACTCATACGTGACTTCCAGCAGCACATATGCTTATCAAAAGATGCGTACCCAGTCAGATCTGGCACATGACGTTTTGGATTAGAAGAGATCCTATAGCACTTGTGCTGCGGATGTGTGAAGTAGAACGTAAGAAGTGAGAAGGACAAAGCAGGGTTTAATACCGAACGAGTAAGCATCCTTCAGGCATTGTACTTGACACTTGAAATTGACCAAGAGCTCTTCTGAAAAGAGAAAATTAGAGGGAGTAGGACAACAATATGATTGGCTTAATTCTGTGTAGCTTTGTTAACCTTGAAATTCTGGTCTGAAACTAATAGAACAAGTTGTCCTGTAGTCTTCTGCATCTTAAATAATATTTTTTTGACCATTGTGCTTTCCATTTCCTTCTCCCATGCTCTTTATTTTACTCTGTAGTTTTTCATGTTTTCTTGATTTTATCAAAAGGCCTAAAAGAATTTTTAAGACTTTCTAGGGACAGGAACACCATTCTCTGTGCAACATTAAAGTTTCATATGGAAAATAGCCTGAATTAAGCACTTGCAAGTTATTATGTATATTTATTTGTATTTAAGAATTTGGCTACAATGTAATAATTATACATTTATTAGGAAATTGCAAACTGGAATTCAGATCTGGTCATTAGCATATAGAATATGCATTAAGATGTCTGTGACATTAATGAATAGAATATATGTGAATGTACATCCACATATATATATAGTAATTCAGCAAAATTACTGGAAAGTTTTTGTCTAGTCACAGTTTATGTGTAAGGGCTACTTTCAGTATATGTCAATAGCTATCCTGAAAAGATGCTTTTAAATTTAAAATATTGCAAATTCTTTTAATATATCTTCACTTTTCAGCATGATGGAACATTGGTGTTGAATGAAGTGGATAATGAGGTGGTGATACTGTCCAGCACTGGATGGATATGGAAGCAGAAATAGCCAGGCAAATATTACCAAAGATATTTCACTTTTAAAATATGGTTTGTAGGATGATGGAATGGCCTCATTCAGTCTGATGCTTACTCATTTTGTATTAAACCATGGTGCAAAGTTGTTTTTTTCAACCACAAAATGTTCAGCTTATTATGTATTAGTGTACTATCAGAAATAAGCTGTTTTCGTATGCTTTTATAGCCAGCACCTCACAAGGAAATGTTGTGGCTAATACATTTAGCCACCTTAGATTTTTCTGTCTTGAGAGGCTACATATCCATTTACAACTAGGTAAACAGAGAATGTTTTCTGGCAATAGTTTCAAACAAGATTTGAGCTGAGACAAAGATTTGGATTAACCATCAGGTCCAAGCTATTTCTATTATTAGGGTACCCTAATAACCCTTGAATTAACAATTTCATATTAAATTTTTCAGATAATACAATGTTGAATGCATGAGCAGGGGTGATTATTATTTGAAGTGTTCACTTGCCATTTACTATTAAATGAAATGTCTTAAGCCATAAAATGTTTGCATAATGCACAATACATTTATGATAATTAAATAGATATCTTCATTTACTGTTTTCAGGTTAAATTTTTTCCGCGATGTTCCTGAGTTCAGAGTGCTAGCATGTGGTGGAGATGGAACAGTAGGCTGGATTTTGGATTGCATAGGTAATCAATAGCATTTACATAGTTTTGCTTGACTCATGTTTTTCATTTTGCTGCTCTTCCCTATATGCCAAAATCTGGATATGGCTATTTCAAACAAGATCTTGTCAATTTAAATTTTGAAATTTATTAGTTTGGCACATGATTACTTTTAGGGATATTCAAATTGCAAAGGATATTCAAAATCCCTAGACAAGTCCAGTGTTTGTAGTCCTCTGGATTTCCAGAAAGCAAGAAATTTGAATCAATCTATTTTAATTTCAGTTCAAGGTCTGTTTCCCAAACTGAATCAAATCTAAGTTGTTTCTTTTAAGACCATTTACCTTAGCTCATTGGCTTTTTCAGTTACCAAATGTTTGTTTATGTTCCATTATCCCATAATGGAGATAATGGGCTAACAGCCATTTCAGTTTCGGAGTTCTTTCAGTCATTTAGCCATAAAATCCTCTGTACAAATCATTAGGAAGGCCCAGAAGTCAAGATATCGCAGACTGAAACTTCCCAAGGCTTTTTAGGGAGAATATCTTCCACACCACATGATCATTTATTTGGCATTCGAGGGGCTGCAGAGGAAAAAAAATGGGAATGCCTGACGATGGAAATTAAGAAGGAGATGAAGAGACATCAAAAGACTCAACTGAAAGTTTAGATGAAGAGTGTGTGATTTGTGGGAGGTGGGGTCCAGAAACCCTCCTAAAGTTCAGTGGACAGTAAAAATGGTATCATGAAGGAGTGGATGATAGCAAAGGCATTTTTCTAATCTTGGTTTTTTAAAAAAAAATCTTTTTGCAAATGCAAGCTATTGATTGTAACTTTCAAAGTTGTAAATCACTGTACATAAATGTCAGGTGTATTGCCTAAACTTGGAAGGGGTGAAGTTTTGCAGCTGTTAATTGTGTCATTATTTTTGTCATGAGGTCTAAAATGTTGTGCAGTTACTTTCTATTTTGGTGGCATTATTTCAAAAAAAGACTGCATTTTGCCTTAGTAAAATATTATCTTCTCCAGCAATTTTTGTGTTACCGAACTAAGAAATTATTTGGGGGATCCAGAATCCATTTGTTTCATAGGTGCAGGAAATAGACTTTTCAATGCAGCCTTTTAGTGAACAAAAGTCCTTTGACATATAAAGTTTAAGAAATCACCTGTTTCAAGGAACAGACACTTTCTAGTTTGATCTTTTCTTCCATGATCTCCCGATACACAAAGAATCTTAGCGAAGAGCAAAGCAAGAAGAAAAGAAAAAAAAGGAGAAAAAGAAAACAGAAAAGAAAAAATAGGAAAAAAGAAAAGAAAAAAAGGAATAAAACTCCCAAACTTTTTTCTCCTCAGTTTGAGACTTTTAAACATTTTTTATTATTGTTCTGTTGAATGGTAATTTATTTTGAAGTACTGGTATTGTGAATGTTAAATCTTCCTAAGGTATTGATGAGAGAAATTGATAAATAACACAATGTCCTGCCACTTCCATTGGATATATAAACTCCTGCTGAGAATTGCTGATAATTGTCCATAATTCTATGAACAAAATAGCCGATTGTTTAACTATTCAAGTAGAACTTTTAAACTAGACATGCTACTCATTCCAATTAAATGGGGAATTTGACAAACTATATATTTGAAATATTATACTTGGGGGATAGTTGCATCACTTCCAGTTTGCATAAAGGCTGTATTTCTTGAGAAGAGTTTTCCCATTGGATTTTGAACAGAGATCCTTTGGCATGAAATGCTAGAAAAGTACCAGTAAAGAATCAAAAGACACTGTAAGTTCATATGTTTCAAAACGTTACTTATTAAATACAAAATATTGACTTGATCAGATAGAACAATGCTCATTTTGAATAGCAGATTTAATTCCCGATGGGCAAACCCCTGGTGTTGGTTCCAGGGAATTTTTGGTAATGATGCTCATGTGTAGACACAAATCAAAGTGAATACACAGTTAAACACAAACTTGGTCACCCAGATGAAAATGTGCAAGATTCATGTCGTTATTCATGCCCTCAACTATTACTCTTTCACATTTGTAGCTGAGAGCAACAGAGAGCACAATATGTTTAGTCTTGGAAAGATCTTGAGTATCGTTTTTATGAATGTTTGTCACATCTATGGGTTACAAAAGTCGTTGTGGTAAAAATCAAGTAAATTAGGATCAAGGATTGAATATTGACTGGGGAAGGGCTGCATAATGGAGTGCCTTGGTGAAATGCTTGTTGCTGAGCAGGCAGCTTAATCTCATATACAAAACGTATCACTGTCTTTTACTGAAACAAAACCTAACACAGTTGTTTTATCAGTACTATACAACTAGATATTTTTTTCCTTATTTATGTTTTTCCTTCTTTATTCACAGAGAAAGCGAACTTGATTAAGCATCCTCCAGTTGCTATCCTGCCTCTTGGGACTGGCAATGATTTAGCAAGGTGTCTGAGATGGGGAGGAGGTAAACAAATTAAAATAAAATGCATTGTGTAATTACAAGGAAAAAAAAATAACTTTTACATCAAAGTCTACTCTCAACATTTGGATTTCTTTTTTATGATGCACGTAAAGATCCTTTATCACCTTTCTTCTTTTTGGAATTGGCTGTCTGTAAATGTTATATGAAAGATTTTATAGATATTAAAGGTTGTAATCACTCTTCATACCTTGTTTGTAGCTTCTGCTGACACCAAAAAAGCTCCAAGGTGCAATGAGAGTAGTGTATAACTATTTGGTTGGCTTTTTACAACCTGTATCTCAGTCATTTCTTTGATCAATACCTTATAAAGGGAGTATTCTTAAATGGATTTTAATTGGGGCTGTTCTGAAAGGGTTACTGAAAACAGCTAATAATGGGTTTGGAGTGGTTTCATCTTTTTTAATTTTCATAAATATTAAATGAAAAATGTGTCTCAGCCTCAGACTAGTTCCTTTGATCCACTCCCCTTCTTTTCTCCTACAGAGGATTCCAGACAATAAACGCTGTGGTGCTATTTATCAGGAAATGAGAAGGCAAAGAAAGCTGAAAAGAGAATATGTGTAAAGTCAAACCTCTAATACCCTTTGCATCCTTTCCTGGATATATGGAGCCTTACTCTCAGCTCCTCCAATAACTTATTTCCATTCAGGATTTGCATTACAGCATAACGTGAAGGAGATACAGAAAAGAAAGTCTTAGGCAAGACTCAGTCTCTGGTGACAGCATGTCAGTTTATGGGCTCACAGCCAGTTCTATTTCAGGTCTCAGTTGGTCATTTCAGTTGAGTTGTTGTGTATTTGGAACTTGGCTGTTTATTTGGAACTTCTCAGCCTTAGTATATATCTCTTCCTTCTTCTGTCTCATATAGCAAGTTTACTTTCCAAATTTCTGCCATGTTACCAGATAGTCTTTAGCAAATTCTCAGTAGTTTTCATGCTATAGAACTTCTTTATTAGTCATAATGTTCTGTCAAATCATTTGAGGACCTTCTTCATTTTCTGTGTCAAGACTGGTGATTGTTTATTCACATAGTCTTAGGAAGAAGAAGAAAAAGAAAAAAAGAAAAAAACCACAACCCAAACCCCAATCAAATCAGCCTTGCTTCACTTTATGAACAGTTTGTAGAGTCATAGAATAATTCAGGTTGGAAGGGGTTGCAAGAAGTCGCTAGTCCAATCTCCTGTTCTGAGCAGGGTCAGCTATGAGACCATTTGACTGCATTCGTCAGGACCTGTCCTTCCATTCACTTCTATTTATTTCCACTCTGTTTTGAGTGATTCCATCTGGACTATAGTAGAAAAAGACAGTATGAAAATATTCTGGCTTTCATCATTCTTTGCCCAGTTGCTTTGTGGTAGACAGTGCCATAACATTCATAACAAGAACTTCCATAGATGAGAGGGGAGACAGGGCTTCCAGAAACTAAATTGCTGGTGAGTGATCTCAAGGATGCAGACAAATGGAGTTGTGCGTGCTGCCGTTACACCACAGTTGGCAGTGGCTAACAAAAACATACCATACAACTCCACATCAGCAATGAGTTTTGAGCAGGGAGGCTTTGAATGGCTTTTCTTCTAAAACTGTTAATGACCCAGGAAGTACACATTGCTTGAATATGTATATTTATTTCTGATTTGAAGGAACGAATCCACAGATCGTAGTTATCTCTTACAAAGTCATTTGAGCTGAATAGTATTCAGAGTTGATAATGTCGCTTTGTAAAATCTCCACACTTTTTATGACTATGTATCTTGTGTATACTTGGGAGTGTGTAAACAAGTTTTCCAGTGAGTTTAGTATATAGTGTAGTGATCTGCTACTACTAGTGAATTACCTAAAGACATGTGAGCGCTTCTGGGCAAGTAAGAGTAAGATACCTCTACAGAGCAGGGTGAGGCTGATAAAGAAGTTATTGAAAGATGGAAAAATGTTAGTTCTGCTGATAAGTCATCAGCTGTGGATTACAAATTTTGGATTTGTTATGCTAAACCACATTGAAACAATCGACAAAAAACAGTAGACAACTTTTAACCTTTCAGTCTTTTGTCCAACTTTAATCAGACAAAACTACTGTAGGTCTTTTTTCCACAAATTTTGAAATCAAAGGATTTTAAATATTGAGATTAATTTCATAGTAAGAACATTTTGCAAAGTATAACCTTAGCTTTTTGGATAACTGCTGTAATTGTTTGGAAAATTCAAGGGATTGGCAAGATTTGAAGATCAAATTATTTTCTCAAGATAAATTTGATGCCCAGTGAAATCTGTAGAATTAATCTAAGTTTACATTAATTTAGCCAAGTGCAGAAATCAGCTTTGTATTTTTACTGCTTTTAATGAGAGGTGCTGGAAAATTGCAATACTTATACATCATCCTGCTTTTCAGGTCTTATATGCATAGTTTTCACTTTTCCAGTCACAGAATCATAGAACAGTTTGGGTTGGAAGAGACCTTTAAAGGTCATCCCCCTGCACTAAGCAGGGACATCTTCAACCACATCAGGTTGCTCAGAGCCCCATCCAACCAGTCATCTAGAAACAGAAAGAAAATGGAATGAAACTTTATTATGCTTGATGAAATAACCATTTTTGTGTCTTGCTAGGTTATGAAGGTGAGAATTTGATGAAGATCTTAAAAGACATTGAGAACAGTTCAGAGATTTTGCTGGACAGGTGGAAATTTGAAGTAATACCCAATGATAAAGATGAGAAAGGAGACCCAGTGCCTTACAACATCATCAATAACTACTTTTCTATTGGCGTGGTAAGACCTGTGTTTATCCTTAAGTGATTTTCTGTTTTGAATAAATATTTGCATTGCATGTCTTCAAGTGAAGAATTGTTGGCTACAGATCATTTATAATGTTATTTTGCTAGTGAAATGAATACATAGATGACTGACAGCAATTTGCATAAATTTACTTCCACACATTCAAACCAGAATTATTTTTCAGGACCTTTTACCTTCCCATCTATAAAGAAGATATTTGTGTTGTTCCTAATGCTTTATGAGCAGCCATAGCACTAAATTTATATTATCATTATGAAGGTCCTATAAAAATATAAAGCAAAACTAATCCCATAGTAAGAACTCTAAGTACCCTTTTCCGTTAGTATTCACATAATCAGAACTGTTTAAAAGAGCAGTGGCATTCTTTATTTCTTCAGGGCAGTTTAAAATAATAAAAGAAAATAATAATATAAAAAAACCCCACAAGTATCTTCTTGGTTCTGTCTTATGGGGATATTCACAGTTAGAATAAATTATGAGGAAGAGGAGTTTAAGAAGCTCTTCGTGTCCCAGGAACTGGATCTCCGGCTTGTGCTTCTCTATTGTTTCCCATTATATTTGCTATCCACATTGCATATATGAGGGGAATTAAGCATGTCCAGTCTGACTTTTGAGCCTTTTGCTTTGGATATGCTTTCAAACACAAGCAGAAGGGGGACTGTGATGAGGTCCAAATTTCACAGATCGAATAGTTCATAAATAAGATTTTTAGCTCAGACACAAATGAAGTCTAATTAACTTGGGAACATGCCTTCCAATAGCTAGCGCTGGTTGTTCTGAAATCAGCTCATTCCACATACATTACATCAATTTGTATATTATTCTTTTTTATAAATATCAAAATCCACTTTTACAGGTTATCTAATTCTGCAATCCGGCATTTCAATATGCTACAGAAAAGTTTTTTAATGGGAAGTACAATATGCGATGTTGTAAATTCAAGGAAATGAAGAATGTGTGCTTAGTTTGTTTGATCACTGTACTTCAGCATTAACAGGGTTCTGCCCCAGCTTTAAGTGGTTGATGAAATTTTTACATATTACTTCTTATTCTGTAATTTTGATATAGTGCTTCTCAGCAACATGCAAAAACAGTCTATTCCTTTAAAACATTTCTTGGGTTCTTGTACTATGTAGTCCTAAGTGCTGAAAAAAAAAAAAAAATTAATCAGGTCTCCTGAAGTTTAAGATATTTAAGTAATAAGGAATTGTTCTTGAGGGTTCTTTTTTTTCTTGTATAGTTTGGCTTTTAGTTTCTGTTCAAAGCAAGTACAGAGAATGACTAGATGCTACACAAAAAAAAAAAAACAGAAATGAGTATATAACAGTACATAAATGCAAAGTATATGCACCAAAACTAGCCCAAAATTAGGTTCATAAATAGGAGAGAAAGTGTAAAGGAAGATTTTTGATTACAGGAAAAAAATACCATGATAACAGAAAATGCCCAGCCCAGGGGGGACATATTCAGTGACTTTGTCAAAAGGGAATATTGATGCTAAAGCTCAAGAGATGAAGAAAGAAAATAAATGTGTTATACTAAGGAAGCAAGCAAGAAGTGAGAGGGA